CCTTATCTTTCCATAAGGCAGCATTTATTTGTCCACTGTCGTCCTTTACTTTGATGTTCCTGACGGACTGGGTGTTTTTTACACGTCGTGGTAGTTCGTCCTGCATAAATATAATGTGAGACATTAGAAATCATCATAATGAAGGTATTAATAGTTGATAGTGCACATGTACATGTACATGACATCAATACAATATACATGTAATTGAAATAAGCCAGGCTTTGAAGGTATTCTGATATTGATGATTGCATTTCAGATGGAAATATCTAACTGGATGGATGGTACACAAAAATGGTACTACAGTAAACTCTGGTCTGTTGTGTAGTCTAAGAGCTATGTTTTGCTTCATTGGAAATATGTGGAGACATTGAGAAAATAGACTTAGCTGTAGTTCTAATAGTCTGTTTGGGATCATGCACGTAGTGTAGGCGTACTTTGATGTACATGTATTTTATAAAGAGACATTAGTCAAGTCAGTGTGAGACTTGTTATTTAAATTTGTTGGCAACTGCTGCGTAAGAAACTGATTCCGAAGCGCAATTTTTCTAATGTCGATTACACTAGGGTCATTCCATGCCAACTCGACAAATGGTGCACACCATCACCTTTTGGATTTTTTTCTTTTTTGGTGTACTGAAAGATACTTAGGAGAAGTGCAAATTCTGAAAATTTGGGGTCTCTACGACTTTTCGTTCTTGCGCAACAGCATTTTGAATTTTGAGGTGGGCGGGGCCAAAAGCGCGTCGCGTCACGAAATTCAATGTTTAAAGGGTCATTATATATTTTTTGTCCTTTGAAATGCCTATCAGAAACAAAAAGAAGTCTCGACATATCCTCTTATGTTCATAGTGGAACCATGTTATCCGAGTCAGCTTGTGCTCACGGTTGTCTTTCTTGAGTCTCTGCGTGGCCTCAGAGGTGTTGATTCAGAGGTAATTCCCAGCAGAAAAAGATCCTTTTCAAAGCTTGTCATTTCACGTACATTCAACCTGAAAATACCAAAAAAAGAGAGATATATTGAGCACAAACAATTATTTGGAAATGTAACACACTGCACTCTAAACTCATTAATGTATTACATGCACAATGTGATGTTGTATATTCAAAGCTAGGTATAATGTTGCACACTGCAACGTGTGTTCGAAATTGAACAACTTTGTAGAGTCCAAAACATGGTGCATTTTATCATGGCAGGGGTTGTTTTGAATTGTTAACACAAAGATTACAAAGAAGTGGCATGTATTTTTGGTACAAAAACGTTGTCAGTGCACTATTAACAACAAACTAAGGGCCCACACAATTTACGAGCAAACAAACCAAGGGGGGGGGGCAGGGCCCTTGTATGCTTTCTTAACTAAGATTGTTGACATTCGTGAAATCTTAGGTTATTGTAAATGTCCCTTTTTTTATTAACATGTTTTTAAGGCTGACTGATGTTGCATGTGTTATGACAATCTGTGTTACCTGATGCTCTATATCTCTTCTGTACTCACACCGCAGATTGCGATTAACGATAAATATGCGTTGGCTAAAATGATTTACTTAAATTTAAAGAGTGAAAAGGTGGCGGTCGTATACTGTACTCCATCCCATCTTGTATATTTTTATCGGTTAGGCCTAACGTTAACGTTTAAGTGTCAAACTTTTACTTAATGTTTTGACATGTTTGACAGTTCTGTTTCTCACATTAGTCTAACTGTAACGTTAGTGTCTATAGGCCCTAACGTAATAAATAACGTTAGTGTCAATCATAAACGTAAGATGAAGTTAACAACAGTATTTTTACATTTTTGGATTTTGGTCCTTTGTTATGTGCAATTTTTTTTACAAACAACATACTTTTCCCAACTTAAACAAAACACTTACCATAGCTCCGTGATTGATGGGTAGTTCATCTCACTGCTTGAGTCAAGTTCATCCCCATCACTATCGTTGGAATCAGACAAGTCTCGTTCACCAAGATCTTGGAAGTAGTCATGGGTGTCGCGAGGGGGGGGGGGCAAGGGGGCACTTGCCCCCCCCCCCCCCCCCTGGAAAAGCAAAAAAAAAAAAACAAAAAAAAAATGGAGAAAAAAAGTAAACAAAAGAAAACAGAAAAAGAGGCGCGAAGACAAAGTGGTGTAAATTTAATGAGTTGGGGGGGGGAGGCAAAATGTCCCTGCCCCCCCCCCCTAAAACTGATAAATCGAGAATGTGTTGAGAAATACAAGCATTTTTGGGCAAAAAAATTTTTTGCCCCCCTCTAGAAAAAATCCTGGCGATGCCCATGGAAGTAGTCTTCAATAACTTTGAGCATACCAGAGTCTTTCAACCCACACGGTGCAGCATCATTAACAAGTCTTGCGATCCTGTCTTCGCAATCTCGACAATCTCGACTCGGAATCCATTATTGAAAACCATCCAACAAGGATAAAAGACTACACCAAATTTTGAAATGCTCAAACCCGCAGAATAATTGCAAATTTCAGCCGATTTGTGACTCAACACACACAACACAACGACTAGGTATGTGAAGAAAAAATTCAAAGTGAACCAATACCAATGCAATTAGTACCACTGGAAAGAGCTTGAAAAATCCTACACAGTGATTCCAAAATTATTGAGATATCTTAATTGATAAGGAAATAACAAGCATTTGAAGCTCATTAATTAGCGTCATTTATCTTAAAGGTAATTGAATAGAATTTTGTGACCGAAAATGCGACTTTTTTGAATAAAAACGCTTGTGGTTCCTTCGTTAATCAAGATATCTCAATGAAACTTGCAGGCAATGTGTATCTTGTTAGGGTGAAAAATAATATGCTGATTTTAATCGTCTTTTTGGCCTAAAATGAAATTTATAACATATTAATATAGGAGCTTTCATCAATTATTTGGAGTCCTGTCTGGAGCGTCACTCTCGTCTCATTTTGTCCCTGGAAAGATACATAAGATTAGTAAACAACATCTATAAGAGTGTATCTTACCTAAACAGCAAAACTTTCATATCAGGTTCACTGTCTAGTCCAACAGAAATGTCCTACCATCCATACCATTTCTTTGAAAAGTGTCTATCCAAGTCCACTTATTCCACACAGACGACAAAATTTTCCACTCGCCCATGCCAGAATTGTCAGTCTCATTGATCAAGAACTAAAACTGTGGATGAAGTACCAACGCATTCAAGTTCACATCATTAAGTCACCAGCAATTAAGTCAGCTGCCAATGCAAAGGGGGGCATATCATAATCAGTTGCATTGTCATATGTCTCACCCATAGACCAATAGGCCACAACGAATGTTGGTCGTTTCGTACCCAAGTCGTTTCGTACCCAGGTCGTTTCGCACCCAGGATTCATTGCACACATGACAAAGGGTTCCAAATCCTTTTCTATTGAACAACAATGCTACTGTCAATCACTCTTGGTGGTTCACGGACTTGTGTTGACTGCGCTGCGGTTTGTTTTGTCTGATTTTTTTTAACCTGCCACTGCATGTTTTTTGTTCTTCTTGGAGCTTGGATTTTATCTACCCTGCGGTTTGGGGTTTTTTTTACCTTAGGTTATGATCGACGATGTTTGTCTTCTATATTGTAGCCTGATTTTCTTTGGTTGCTTTTTTTTTCGAAATTGTACATTTTGTTATTAAATTTCATGTTGAATTTACGTAAACGTCTTCCGTCTTCTATAATTATCAAGTTTTGACTTTAATTTAAAACTATTGTAAGTCATAAAATGCAATTCAATTGCTTTTAAAATTTTCAATGTTTCAATCTACCCTGGTGTTAATGTTTTCACTCTTCTATAATTATCAAGGTTTGATTTCAATTCAAAAAACTGTTGTGAGTAATAAAATGCAATTCACTAGTTTTGAAATGTTCAATGTTTTTCAATGTGTTCAGTTTGGCATTGTTTTGGAGGTAATAAAAAAAAAACAATTTCGCATTGTATAAAAAATTAGGCTCTTTTTCTAACCTGTGGAGAAAACGAAAAACATGTAATTTTTTATTAATCATTTATTTCTGTTTTTATTCTGCTTTTGATGCAAATCTTCAAGACAACTATATCTTTTGTAGATATGTTGGTCCTGAAAAGGACCGGTTGTTTTGATGTTGACCGACGGGCTTGGTAGTCGTCCCACAACTTGAAAATCTTCCCTTGAACCTGCCGGTACATCCGCCGCTGGTTCCTGCAGAGTCGAGCTTCTTTGACCAGCCTTAGCTGGACGTTTATGTACATGTAGCTGGATTCTGCGTACAGGAGCTTGATGACGTTGTAGAATTGGACGGTGTGACGTCCTGCCCGCCCAATAAGTCTCCGATGCCAGCCCTCCACGTCGTTGTTCATGCCGATACTCCGCATGAACACTGACCAGTCACGTGGGCTCCTTGTTGAGTTCTCCAGCCACGTGGTGCGAAGGTAGCTGCACAGCTCGACCATGGCGGGTTGATCAGTCACCAGGCTGCTGAGTTCTTCAAAATTTGGCCCGATATGTTCATTAGGCAAGAACGGGAGTGACAACAGCTGGCCGATGAAATCCCGAACTCCGTCGTTGGACATGTAGGGTACTGTCAAACCGAGTGCCTGACACTTTCTCCAGACTGCCTGTGTCCAATGGAACAGGCGGCAATTCACGGAAGCAGCCGGAAAGACAGCTCGGATGGCACCCCACAGTCCAACTTTGAAGTCCACCACCAGCTCTTGAAGATTTGCAGCACGGGACGGCAGCTTTCTCCGCAGGGCCTTGAGCACCTTCTTATAGTCTTTCTTTGTCCGCCGAGTTATCAAGACAAAGGCCAGCGGAACCTGCTTCATCCCACCGGTGTCTCCCTTGACGAAGGCGTGAACTGAGAACAGTTGGGTGAACGGACGTTTCACCAACTTGAAAGTTCCATCCAAGTACCAGGTCTTGGCGCTATCCAGCACATGGAGTTGATCTGGTTTAAAAAAACACCACATGGCGAGCACAACCAAGGTGAATGTCTTTCTGGAGGAAGTGTTCGGGGATGAAGCCTTGGTCAATTATAAAGTCAATGTCTCGTGGCTCGGGAGGGCGCTGGCTCTGGCAGTGACGGTTTGGAGCCCGGGACAGGTTGGTTGGATTAGGACAACTTGCAGCGGGTGCGTCAGTGTGGTGATGACATCCTCGACAATGGCCCCTGCTGATTTGAAGATGTCAGCCTTGGCCTTGGTAATCACCAACGCCTTCACTTGAACTGCGACGTCTGCCCCGGGATGTGCTGGGTGCGTATGCTTGGTGTGAAGTCCAGCATGAAAAAGGTTGCCATCTTGGTGAACAGACACAGCACACCTGTGCAACTTGCCCCGGACACTACACAGCCATGTGACTTTGGAAGAAGTGGAACCGGCCTTCTTCCACTTCTTTGTGTAGGTGTAGCCGTGACTATCAACCAAGATGACTTTACCCCGTTTCGTGCCGGACTCCACCGTCTTGTAGATAGTGATGTCCTCATCACCTAGGCCAGGGATTACAGCAGGTAGGGCAGCATCGGGGAGGGGGTTCTCGGCTACTTCAAGTGGTACATCAAAGTCGGTCTCGACGTTGAAACCGCCGTCATCGGTAGGGACGTCTCCGTTCTCCTCGATGTCCATCGGGTCTTCCTCCTGTTCTTGGTCTTGACTTGTACAGGGTGCACAGATCCAAACGTCCAGCCTGGATGGATCGTCACGGATCTCCAGGTACTGCTGGTGACTAAAACCAGAGTTGCAGCCAACATGCTGCCATCCCTGGCAGCGCTCACACTGGAAAGCATGCTGGTTCGCACGAACAGACTTCTTACAGAAGAGGCAAGGATACTTGATAGGCATCTTGACCCAAAAAGTGCCCAAAATGTGACTTTGGAGAAATTTTTTAAGGCTTAAATTTTGACAACCGATAGAATATAAGATTAGCTACCGATTTATGAATGAAATCTTTTTTTCGACCATGCATGCATTTTTTCGTTGTACAAAATGTAAGTACCGGTACCTTACATGTATCTCGAAAAGGCGTTTGCCGACTTCCGCCTGGTTTTGGGATGGCGGGTCACATTTGACATCATTCGGTTCAAGTTCTAGCATGCGTGAAAAGGTGACATGCCTTTCTTTTGTGACGACCCCAAAACACAGATACTTTGTCAGAATAGGCCTCTCCCCATCAACACTGGGCCAAAAGCGAGCATTAAGAGGGGGAAATCGGTGCCAAAAGAGGGCATTAAGAGGGGGAAGTTGTAAGCGGACGCTGACCTTGAATGCTTTGCAATGCACCACCTGCAACAGCAGGGTGCCAGGGCATTTGTTTTCCCTTGGCAACAGCACTCTTCTTTTGATCCCAAAGAAGCCTCGCTGGGGTATTCTGTCCGAAAATGTCATTGGTGAGGGTCTCATCTAAGTTAGCAAATACCTCCTCCATTCCCTTCTCCTGTAGAGGAGTACAAAGGTGAATAATTTCTGCTTCCATCACGGATGATATTTTGGTTTCCAGTGCAGCATTTCTTCGCAGCAAATTCCTTCTATCACTCTGGAGATCTACCACCTCTCCTGAAGCTGCTGCTTTGACAAGGTAATATTTGGGGCTTTGGATGATGCTGATCCGCTGCGTTGTTGCTTCCCTATTAACTGGCTTGTAGCAGATGAGAGATCACCTTTGTGTACTTTACAGTAGTCACATCTTGTTCCACTTGATTGCACCAAAAGGAGACATTTCTTGTGCCGCACTTAACTGTCCCGTCCACAACGACATCATTGTTAGTGATCTTTGTTGGAACTTGACCTTCTGAGCCACACTTCGATGCCACCAGTTCAGGAAAGTCAGGATTTCCCAGACATGCATGCATCCCATCAAGCTTGCTGAACATGATGAAGATGTCTTCGGGACTCAGGAACTCCGGGACATCCTTGCACAACGGGTGATCACTATTACAAGTGATGCCACAAATATTAAGCTCCCACGAAAAATTGGCCAGGATTGTGAAAAACACTATGGGATTGCCCATCTCATCAACTTTGACGATTCTTACTCTATTTTCCCCTTTCCAGACCATGAAGGAAAACTTCCCAGCTGTAGTGCGGTGATCATCCAAGGTCACAACGACTTCACCAGTGCACCTGTCACATGAACTAGTGAAGGTGGTGATTTTTATGTTGCAAACAGCTTTTTTACACTTTGCGCGGTTTTCTTTCCATCTCCTTAGCTTCAGCTCATACGGCTTGCACAGATACACTGTAGGGAGGATAGATGCCTATCACATTGTCAGCTACAGCGATGTCAAAAGCAGCCTTGATGTCCACAGCAAACCGCTCTTTCAGCACAGAATTTCTATACTTCTGTTGGGCAGGACTCTCACCACAAAGGCGACAAACTTCCAACAAGCAAACCTTGTGTTGATTCATCCGACTCTGTTTAATAATAGAATAAAATGTTACATGTAATTAATAAGTGTTGAGACAATGCACCCATTACACACACACACACACCCATACTTGTAATGACCTGCAAACGTTGACTTTCATGTTTTACCATACAAACGAGGACTGCAGTATTTTAAGGGCTACTTACGCTGTGTTAGCAGAAAATTAAAGTTTTAACCGCAGACGTCTTAAAAATGGGCGGTAACAGGTTACTGAAGCTTTCTGGCTTCACGAAGTTTTCACATTCAAACCGTGGACGTACACAAGACGTCCACGCTGGTATAGTCAGTTAATAGGTCCACGCTTGCATGTCCATTACAGGAGTATAACGAACACAAGACGTCCACGGTGGTATTGTCGATTGGTCCACGCTTGCATGTCCATTGCAGGAGTACAACGAACACAATACGTCCACGGTGGTATAGTCGATTAATAAGTCCACGCTTGCATGTCCATTACTCACATGAGTATAACGAACACAAGACGTCCACGGTGGTATAGTCAATTAATAGGTCCACGCTTGCATGTCCATTACATGAGTACAACGAACACAAGACGTCCACGGTGGTATAGTCGATTAATAGGTCCACGCTTGCATGTCCATTACATGAGTATAACGAACACAAGACGTCCACGGTGGTATAGTCGATTATTAACACCCTTCGGTTTTACGGTCCCCGTTGATGGAATGCCATCCCTGTTGACGTAAGAACGAAGTCGTCTGTGGGTCGATTTAAGACTTCTTACAAAAGAGTCCTCCTCTCCCATTATGTAACATAGCTTTAGTCCTCTCCTTATTTATTTACGTTTTTATTCGTCATCAGTTATTAAATTCTTTCTTTTTATTATTTTGCCTTCAGCTCTTCTCCTGTCTTTTTTTGTGTAGTCTGTCCCGTCCTTGTTTCGTTTTGTAGCTGTTGATGTTGTTGCTGTTGTTGTCTGAATGGGCTGTTTATTACAAGCCTCGGCTTATTAACAGCCCCATGCTCTTTCTTTTCTCTTGTACATATATCCTTTTCTTTAATTTGATTATTAGTTCCAAGCGTTCACTTTTTTTGTTTATTATTTAATATAATACATGTATAGTTACTTTGTTATTTTCCTGTGTACAGGTTTTCTTTAATTATCGATGCGTTTTCCAAAAAGAGTATGGAATAAATGTCTTATTGAATTGAATTGAATTGAATAAGTCCACGCTACATGAGTATAACGAACACAAGACTTCCACGGTGATATAGTCGATTAATAGTAGGTCCACGCTTGCATGTCCATTACATGAGTATAACGAACACAAGACGTCCACGGTGGTATAGTCGATTAATAAGTCCACGCTTGCATGTCCATTACAGCATAGAGCAAGGAACAGACAGGAGTATAACGAACACAAGACGTCCACGGTGGTATAATCGATTAATAGGCCCACGCTTGCATGTCCATTACAGGAGTACATCTAGTATAAGGTATACAAGATGTAAATAAGATTTGTAATTAAGATTTGAAATTTTCCAAATGTCATTTGTTGGTGTTTTCTAAGGTCATTCACAGCAATAAAAGAAACGGAAAAGAAAAGAGAAAAAATATATACAAAGTCACATAGATAGATTGAACTCAACAAATTTAACTGAAACATTTATTTCTGCAAACAATGTTAATTATCAAAGATAGATGCCAACTTGGAAAAAGATAATTATTAAAAACCAACGACAAAAATACAGAGTTCCAAACTCTAGTCTTCTGTTCTAGGGGTCACAATTAGCACTCTCTGGGCTTGGAAAAACTTGCAATACACAAGTCTTGTACATTCTAATCTCTTGTGAAGTTTTGATAACATTTCAGTTTTAAAATGTATGTAAGAGGACATAACAATTTCAAATACCACATTTGCAGTTTGTATTTGTGCTCACCTCTGCCAAAACTATTTATTTTACTGTTCCGGGAGTTGTTCTATCGTGTGTGCATAACGATTATCATTACATGTATTCTATGCAATAAGTGTACACTAGAAAAATAATAGATGAAAATACTTTACTTAAGTTAAGTCAACAATATTAGTGATACGGTTATCTGTGTTCAGTCATAAGGTGGCAAAATGACCAAGACAAGACCTACTGTATGTGGGTTTTTTTCTCAAACTATTTGACCCCCCCCCCACCAGTTGCAAACATGAACTGTTAAAATTGGGACCAATCTACACTTTCTGAATGTATTTCATCTCTTGCGAACTGCCTATCAACCTCTATAAGATTATATAACTTGTTTGAAAAAACAACTTAAAAGAACAATTGAGCTTTATTATAAAACTGGAAACTCTGTAGGCCTCAGAAATTGAAAAAACTTCCTTTCAACTTCTACATGTATATGATCACTGATATTGTTAAAGTAAATAAATGAAATGGAAATTAAAATTTTAATTTCAACGAGAAATTAAAATTCAGATTTTAACTAAATGACAAGCAAATTGCTATAATTGTATAGTGCACGAGTCTTAAGTATACACTTCTTATAAACCATGTGTTCTATTGATTACACAATGCAAATATTATATGTAATGAGTGAACACTAGAAAACAACAGTCAAAAATACTTTACTTAAGTACATGTACAGTTTTCTGTGATAAGTTATTATGTGGCAAAATGCCCAAGACAAGAACTACTAGATATGTGCTTTGGCAAGCTGTGCCCCCCCCCCACCAGTTACAAAATTGTACTGTGACGATTGGGACCAATCTACACTCTTCCTGAATGTATGTCATCTCTTAAGAATTGACTATGAATTTCTAAAAGATTACTCATTTTGTTTGAATAAACAAATTAAAAGAAAAATCTAAGCTTTACGTGTCAAACATTCTTCTTTCGTACTTTTTTTTCTGTAGATGTCAGAAATTGAAGTTAACTTCCTTTCAACTTCTTTATGATCACTACTTTTGTTAAAATAAATAAATAAAATGAAACTTTAAACTTAAGTATCAACTACAAATTAAATTTGTGTACGCAGTGTCAAACATGTCAAACATTCTTCTTTGTACTTTTTGTTGTTGTAGATGTCAGAAATTGATGTTAACTTCCTTTCAACTTCTACATGTATATATAAACCACTACTTTTGTTAAAATAAATAAATAAAATGAAAATTTAAACTTAAGTTTCAACTACAAATTAAATTTCAGATTTTAACTTAATGGCAAGCAAGTTGCTATAATGGACCGATCCGGCCTATCAATCAAACTTTGCGCGTTCACTCCATTTGACAAATCACAGCCATGATTGCGCAATCAAAAGTTGGACAAAAGTCGGACATGCATGTGCGTATATTTGGCACGCGCGGCAAAATTGTGCAGAATGGCATTGGAAAGGCTAGTACGCGTGTTATCCTCACAAACCTGTACGCAGTGGGCGTAGCTTGGTGGAAAGCTGGAATGGTCCATTGTATAGTACACGAGTCTTAAGTATACACTTCTTATAAACCATGTGTTCTATTGATTACACAATGCAAATATTATATGTAATGAGTGAACACTAGAAAACAACAGTCAAAAATACTTTACTTAAGTACATGTACAGTTTTCTGTGATAAGTTATTATGTGGCAAAATGCCCAAGACAAGAACTACTAGATATGTGCTTTGGCAAGCTGTGCCCCCCCCCCCTACCAGTTACAAAATTGTACTGTGACGATTGGGACCAATCTACACTCTTCCTGAATGTATGTCATCTCTTAAGAATTGACTATGAATTTCTAAAAGATTACTCATTTTGTTTGAATAAACAAATTAAAAGAAAAATCTAAGCTTTACGTGTCAAACATTCTTCTTTCGTACTTTTTTTTCTGTAGATGTCAGAAATTGAAGTTAACTTCCTTTCAACTTCTTTATGATCACTACTTTTGTTAAAATAAATAAATAAAATGAAACTTTAAACTTAAGTATCAACTACAAATTAAATTTGTGTACGCAGTGTCAAACATGTCAAACATTCTTCTTTCGTACTTTTTGTTGTTGTAGATGTCAGAAATTGATGTTAACTTCCTTTCAACTTCTACATGTATAAATAAACCATTACTTTTGTTTAAAAAAGAAAACAACATATGGAAATTAAACTTTAGTTTCAACAACAAATTAAATTTCAGATTTCTACTTAATGGCAAGCAATTCGCTATAATGGACCGATCCGGCCTATCAATCAAACTTTGCGCGTTCACCCATTTGACAAATCACAGCCATGATTGCGCTATCAAGTCGGACATGCGTGTGCGTATGATTGGCATGTGCGGCAAAATTGTGCAGAATGGCATTGGAAAGACTAGTACGCGTGTTAATGCTAACGAACATGTAAGCTTTACATGTCAAAACATTCTTCTTTTGTACTTTTTCTGTAGATGTCAGAAATTGATGTGAGGAACCAGGTCCGAAGAAGACGTCAGAAATTGATGTTAACTTCCTTTCAACTTCTATATGATCACTACTTTTGTTAAAATAAACAAATAAATAAATCTTTTACAACTTTTGTTTGCTTAAAAAAAATTACATGCAAAGAAAATGTGTAATCTCTTGTTGACAAATCTGTGCAATTTTAGAACAAAGGGCCTTCTGTCTTTAAGTCTTTGTATTTTTCTTATTTTACCGGATCTACAGAAAGCTCATTGGATCTTGTTTTCGGACCTGGTTCCTCACTAAGTCTTTTACGTTTCTCCAAGTACGATTCTTGAGCAGCTGGGGTTCGGCATTCATCAATGCAGTGATGGGTCCCTTCCGCATCCTCAGGAACATGCCCAGATGTTTCACAACTGCTTTTTTTTCAGCACAAGTCCATGGCCTCTTTGTTTGCTGCTGTACAACAAGCTTTGTCCCATCTGCATCTGTAATGAAGTTGAAAAAAGTTTTTTAAAGTTTTTTCTTTCTCTACCCTCACCCATCAAGATGTTTGCATAAGACATTTGCTGCACTGACAAACCATGTCTCAGGTACTTGTTGGTTGTACCAATGACTTTGGTGTGGTCAAATACTACATTACTTGACTACATTATGCCGTCTTCAATATTTAGTGTCCCATACTTGACAGCTTGTTAAATACAGGTTTTGCAAAGCGGCTGTAAAAGTGTCATACATTATGGCGGCTCCAACTAGTTAGAAACTCTTTCCGATTTATTCTAAATTCCAATGTACGAACCTTTTGCTTCCTCATTCAGACTCATGGGTTCCTCAGGCTCATCATCTCTCTCATCACCTGACGATTCCGACATCGCATCTGTATCGTATTCTAAGAAAAACAAACACATAAACAAAAAACCTTAAATATGTATGTATAATAACATGTATATATTGTACCTCGGTCTTGATAACCTTCACATTCCATACAATTTCCTTTATTGTGTTTCCTTTATATTTCATTCATTTTTTTGCTGACCAATTTTGTAATTTAATCATTTAAACATACATTGTAATTCAAACATTAAAATCTATACACACACATTTTTAGAGGTAAGTTTGAGGTGCAATCCAGCTTGGTTTGTGTTCAGTTAAAGCAGGCATGGTATAAAACAAATTGAAAATGTTATGGTGTTCAAAGTAATAACTAAACACTGAAAGCTGCCAACATTTCAATTAGTAATAAAACAGCATTGTTAATAGAAAAATTGAAAAATGTTATGGTGTTCAAAGTACTAACTAATTGGTATGACTTTCCATGGTGTGGGCCCTCTTTTTTATTTATTTTAATTTTTTCTGATTTGAATACAAATACACATGTACTAACAAAAAATTATTACAATAAAAATAAATTTGTGTTTTTTAATTTTACACACATTTATAATTTTTATTTTGTTTCCACCATCAGAACTGTTTTCTCTCAGCAAAAATTTGACATATAACTTAAGTTGGAAGAATGTCATACCTGCTAGTGGATGGAATCAACTCTTGTAATTTTTTAGTACATGTAGTGATATAAAAATCATACCTTCACTAGGGTCCAGTTCAACATCCTTCAGTCTTTTTCCAGCTAGTCCCTGCACATCACCTTTGTCCATCTTGAGAAGGACCTTTGACAGTTTGGCAACTTGAAGTGTTGACTCTGGCATGCGGTAGAACTCACGATGGGTTCTGACATCATGACCTAAGAAGCTCGCCAGCAGGTCGAGCTCGTTTTCCTGAAGATTCATTACTTGTGATACTGTAGCAATGTGTTTGCGAAGTCTCGTTGCACGAAGGAACTCAGGATTCTTAGCTTTGCACTTTGAAGCATGTTCTCGAAGTGTGTCAGTTCCCCTTATGTGTCCCAGTCCTCGCTGATTACTGAACAGGTACGCATTGCTGTCATCTATTCCTGCTTCATGTCTTCGGTTCATCAGTGTGTCAAGGGCTGTCTTAATCTTGGCAGTGAACATGCAGCACTACAACGGTACGCAAACGCTTTCCAAGAATCTCAACTCTCCAGAGCGCTTTACACAATGCCTTCTCAAGTGCTGATAAGGCCCCATCAACAACACATGTTGTGCCACTGGCACACTTGCTGTAATCACTCAAAGTCATTTTTCCCTTACAGAAATTTCATGAAGCTTGCCTGCAAGCTTGCCGGCAAGCTTGCAGGCAAGCTTGCGAGATTCCAAAAATGCAAATGAGGCACTGCAAGCTTGCAGACTAGACAACTGCAAGCTTGCAGACTAGACTGCAGCAAGCTTGCGGACGAGATTGCGGCAAGCTTGCAGACTAGACTGCAGCAAGCTTGCGGACGAGATTGCGGCAAGCTTGCAGACTAGATTGCAGCAACCTTGCAGGGTTCCAAAAATGCAAATGAGGCACTGCAAGCTTGCAGACTAGATTGCGGCAAGCTTGCAGGCTAGAATGCAGTAATGACAAGCTTGCAGGCTAATGCAGCAATGACAAGCTTGCAGACTAGATTGCAGCAAGCGTGCAGACTAGATTGCAGCGAGCTTGCAGACAAGCTTGCTGAAAGTTGCAGTAAGCTTGCGGACAATTAGGTTGCAGTTAATGGGCAGTACATATTTGTGACACTTAATAACATGTATGAGCTGAACATAAAGCTTTAATAACTGCTTTTGAAGTGTTACTTTACTAACTATAATAACAAAAACAACAATAACCTTTCCTAAAAGTAAAAACTAAAGTTTGTTATATATATTCCAGAAATATAACTTCTATGTATGAGAGGAAAATTCTACAAAATAAAAACAACAAATGGTAATGTTTTCTTTGGATTTCTAATGGAAATTTGACGGCATTTAAAAAAAAATAAATTAAAAAAAAAAATCGATCAATATAAAAAAAAATCAATATAAGTCTGCTGGTTTATCAGTGCAAAAATGTCTTAACTCAACCCAGTCATCGAAATTTATCCCATGTACCGATATGACACAAATTATACTTTTGCATTTTTCTGAATCAAAATTATTAAAATGAGAAAATAAGACATAATGTTATTTGTGATGCAAAAAATAAGTTAGTGGAAAATACAAGAAACATAAAATGGAGTAATGGAATAATGCAAATATAGAACTAAAAACTATTAGAACACAGAATCAAATGCTACAGGGAATTAACAAACTTCTTGAATTTGAGAAGTTAAACTCAAACATGTTGTTTAATTTATAGATGTTTACTATGACGCCATACTATGAAGCCTGAGAATGGACAGGGTGGATTTTTTTTTTGGAATTTGATAATTCGTTCGCACAAATTCCTAATTCATTCGCACAAATTCCTAATTCGTTCCCACGAATTGCTAACTCGTTCGCACTAATCGCTATTGCGTTCGCACGGATTGCTATTTCATTCGCACTAATTGCTTACTCGTGCATCCGGGAACGAGTTGGTAATTTGTGGGAACGAATTAGCAAATTACAAAAAATAATTCTACCCTGTCCCTTGCTGGGCTTCATAGCATACAGTTTAATCACTACTTATTTCTTTTCTTCAATGCCCGTCTGACAGTAGCGCACTTTTGATTGATCTTCTCGTTGAACTCCTTAGGAGACAAACATGGCTGGCCTGTTGGTAGTCTGAACCGTTGTAGAACACACTCTGAAAACAAAACGAAAAATGAAGAAAAGAAAAGCCATGTCATGATACACAAACTTCAATACATGTAACAATAAATGTGATGCTATCAGGCTACATGAGTCGTTTGTCGGGAATTTTCATTTGGAGATTTTGGGCCAAAATAGGACCACCTCATCACATTTCTTGGGTGTTCGACTTCAGGGGTGTGAGGGGTGTGCATCAAAAATACCGCCTTCATTATGTCAAGATAGGGATCGATTTAAAATGAAGTGAGGCACCGCGTATTGGTAGTCAGGAATATCACCCATATTTCTTCAACAAGGCTGTATAAAATGAACGATAAAAGATCGAACCATTTCATAAAAGCCATTTCGGATTTCTTTTCGTATCTTGTTTTTGTGATGCCTCATTTTAAAACTTTCACTTAGCATGAAACTTGAAGTAGCTCTTTTATTTTAAATACTTTAGTTGTACATGTGTGTGTTAGTACAGCTTAAAAAAAATGGGGTTCACATGTACGTATTATAACTGGCCTTTAAAAAGGGCTCCCATTAAAAAGATGTAATTAAAGATGATATTGCTTTTAAATGAGTTACATACATGAGAAACAATGTTTATTATTTTATTGGACAAGATTTTTTTTTTGGGGGGGGTGGGGGAATTAAAAAAAAATTATGAAGTACCTTTTATTTCGTGAAGTTTCTCTGGGTCCAGCGGGTGGTACTCTTCAGTGTCCTTGCGGTTGACAGCTTGCCGAGACCCACAGGCATTTCCTCGGGCAAGCCGTTCTTCTCCAAAGACGCCGACCAATAGGCTGTACAGCAAACTCTCCTTGCACTTGCCCTTGTTGAATGCTAGCCTCTTGGCCCTCTCGGTTATCACCGGAATCCCTCCAGTGTAGAGTGGTGAAAGCTGTGGGTAAAACTCAAAAACATCAACTTGGGAACATGATGATTAGTATGCATACATTGTTAAAACATATTGCTATGTGTTCATTTTTTTAAATTATTTTTTACTCACTATATCATCATGTAGCTTTTAAATTTCCAATGTGGGTCCAATCCAATGAAATCTTATAAATGTGATTTAGTAGTACATTGTGTGGATATGTAAACCACAGAATATTTTGTAAAATGTATTATACTAGCTACACTTTACATTGAAATTATGACTTTGGCAAGATTTAGTTTGGTGATATGTTGTTGGGTGTGTAAATGTATAAGGTGACAATTTCCAACAATTTCTGTCTATGATGCTGATAGAAAAGCCTTACATGTATGTATTCTTTTTAAAATCAAATTAATTTTCAATCAGCATAAAAAAGACTTTACAAAGGGTAATACCGTATTGGACAAGGCAGGAAAACTTTGGCTGGTAGACACTGGTGGTGGCTGTGCAGCTACCACTGGGGTTGCTGAAGCAGTCCGTGGTGCTGGTGGCGGCGGCACCGTCTGTGGTGGTGGCGGCGGTGATGTCCTTGTGGACGGCGGCGCTGTTTGTTGTGGCGGCGGTGATGTCTTTGGCGGTGATGTCTGTGGCAGTGGTGATGGTGGGGGTGGCGGTGGTGCTGCTGTACCTTCAACCATACTGGTCAACTCCTTCATAAGTCTTATTTTCTTAGGAGTGATGTCTGCACAACAAATACATAAGACAATAACTGATTGTAAATGTAAAACTTTAATTAATTTCCGTATATTTTCTTAATACGTAGCATTGAAGAAATAACAAATGATAGAAAACGTGATCGATTACCTTGGGCTGTGGCATACAACCGTGTCCACAATTAAGAATGTGCAATTTCACTTTATTTATGTTCATTCGTATGTATGACCAACTGTTGGTTATACAAGCACAACAAAATTAGAAACTTGGAAATCTTACCAATGCTGAAGGGATGCCCAGAATGAGCAGTCACTTGATCCGACTTCAGCTGCGTAATAATTTGTTCTTTGTCACGCAGTTGGCTCTCCAACTCTCTTACTCGTCGCTTAAGCGACACAATCTCCTGCAAGTCAGTTGCTTGATTCTACATACAGGTAAAGTCATCATCACTGATGACCGTATTTAAATATATTAACTGCTGAGTACTGCTGGTCTGACTTGAATTTTCAATGTACCGGCACAAGGCTTCTATTTCTTATTGAAGTCGCTACGCAGCTGGTATGATACATTGCCTGCTGGTTCCCATGTCTGCTCATTGAAACCCTTCCATTTCACTTGGTAGTAAATTTTGCCCTTTTTTGCAACTGAATCTGTGTATTAAAAAAAAAAAATGAGTTGTACATGAAGAGCCCCCACTTTATTCAGGTGTTTGGCTTATGGTTATATGCGAAGGCCCACTGACCGGTAGGCTGCATCTGTCAAGTACCAGTACCTCACTGTATCCCTGTCATGCCTGTAGCCAGGGGGAGGTACTACATGTACATGTATGTACATGTACTACTGAAATCTTCGTGTCAGCAGTGTCACAAGTTGGTAAAGGCAATTGTCATTTTTCTTGGGGGGTTGAACACCCCCCCCCCCCATCTACTTCTGGATATCATAAAGAACTATAAGACTTTATAAAGAACTTAATTTTTGCTTTTTGGACTTAGACTGACTAATATTTACTGAAGTTTGGTGAATTTGTGTCAATGAGCAATCACTAGAAGTGAAAGACTTGTTAAGGGATAATTATGTCAGCGTAATGCAACACAGTGAAATGTTTTTGTCAGCATGGATAAGTTCTCCATTTATCAAGGAAAAATATTGGCAGCTCCAGTTAGGAATTCAATTTAAATTTGGAAAATGGTTCAAAAATTGAAATGAGAGAAGGGGAAGTATTACTGACAATACGTTGTCTTGGGGCACCCCCCCCCCCCTTCATCACTTGATCTTCAAATTAATGTTTAGTTGCTAATAGCTTGACTTCTCTGTACAGATTCAGGCATGAATCTTTTCCTAGGATCGATCAGGTGATATTCTCTTTGTTTTACATGTACCTACCATGTGTGCCATTAAAATAGGAAAACACCGACAAATTCTTGGAAAGATTTCTGGATTAGCAATCTTGATAACATTTTTGCTTTTGGTATTGCATACACTGAGCTTTAATAAAACTTTACACAGTATAACATTCAAAGTGTAGACCTACTGTATAAATTTCTTTTCCTTTTTTTTTAAATAAAAGATCTTTAATGTTTTAATTTTAATTTGGAAAGATATGTGAAATTAATTTTTCCTTGTGAAATATATTTCCACACCACTTTCGAAACCCTTCCATTTCACTCGGTAGTAAATTTTGCCTTTTTGCTTTTTTTTTTCTCAGTCAAACACTCCACTTCATACTCATCTGAATCTGTGTATTAAACGGAAAAAAAGAATGAGT